CTTTGTGTATTTACAACAGCTTATAACATTTTGTTGGTTATAATTTCCAACATTAAATGGTAGTGGTGGCATTCTGTCCAGTAGGTTTCTCTTCTTCCAAGATCCTCACTATAATTTCAGACCTAGCTCTAACATTAGATTGTTCCATTTGGTTGCATGACCATTTCATGGCATTTTAACTAGTCAAGTATGCACTCACATTGGTGTTTTCTTTATCATTTGAATCAAGGAGGTCTGCATTCCCTGTTTCTGTATCAGTTGATTCTTGGTCTATTTCACTATCACAGAAACTTTGGCACACATGGCCAATGTCAAAGTCGTCATCATCATCATCATCATCTTCATCATCATCATCATCCACCTACACCACTCTTCTGTTATGAAAACATGTATTTTACCATAATGGGTCATCTTCATCATCCATGTGTGTGTAATCTGATGATTCACTTTTGACCTCCTCCAAAACTTGCAAATCTGGTTTTTCATGTGGCATTGTACTGAATTGGTCTACTACCAAAAAAAATCAAAAGAAAACTTTTTTATTAAAAAACAAATCCTAGAGTGGTGTGGGTGTATTATACCTGTGTGATGCTCAGGTAAATATATACAAAATCTGGTAGGTGGAGCATAATGTGGGTGAAAATCCGGATATGAGACTTTTTCACAGGTGCACACATCTTGCCGTTTGTTGTACCAAGTGGGTAAACACAAAGATTGCTTCCTGTGTCTCTCAGGGAAAGATACTGAGACGCATAGCTGGCTACTATTATGCTAAAGTAAAAATTTATAGTAGAAAAGTAAGGGATGTGTTTGTGAAACCCAGTGTTATGCTTGTTGGGCTAAAGTAAATATTTTACCCTTATAAGATGTGAAAATAAATCTCTTTTAAGAAAAGAAAATAAATCTCTTGAAGTGTGCATGATATGTACTGAAATACAGATCCATATTTGAACTGTCAGTTAATAAATTAGACTAATTTACCAGTTTTCCACACATTTTGCTGTTTTTTTGAGACAGGTCCTTTTTATGTAGTCCAGGCTGGACTTGAACTCGCTATGAAGCCCAGATTGGCCTCGAACTTGTGGCAGTCCTCCTGCCTCAGCCTCCTCAGTGCTAGGATTACAGGCATGCACTAGCATGCCTGGTTTTCCATACTTTTAGGACTAACCCACCAGATATTTCCTAATTAGTCAGAAGTGGGATGATAGCTTATTACTAAGTACAATAAGTAAATCTTTTTTTCTCTTTTTTTTTGGTACCAGAGATCGAACTCAGGTCCTTGCTCAGTAAATCTTTTTTTAAATCTCTGTACTTATTCACTGAAGCTTGGCAAAACACTGTTCTGTAAAGCAGGGGTCAGTTATGGCATTTTAACATAAGGCATATGATATAGGACCTCCAAATAATGTAAGGGAAATATTGTAACTCCCAACTGATATCCAAAATGCCAAGTTCGTGTTCTCTAAAATTGAAGAATGAATTCTAGGAACAATGGAGGTTAAGAGTAGGAAGAATTTATTGAGAAAAATGTTGCTTCTGTCTAAGAGAGACAGAAGGGGGACCAGAAAGTGGGTTGCCCACCACCCTGCTTCTCAAAAAATGTTTTATTGAGCAAAGCCACAAGATGACGCAGATCAAGGTAGGACAAAGCTATAGTCAACTAGTATGATTCAATTTGAAAATCACAAGGTGGGTATGAGGTGAGGCAAAACTAGAATCAACCAATAAGATTACAAGTATAGTCACTTAGGTAATATTAAGTGGGGATCAAATGGGGAAGCAAGTCACATAGCAAGCATGCATGGAATGAATAAGGATTTTGAGAAAAGGAATGGGGTGGGGGTTTTAGTCCCCAGTTAAGGTGATTGATGTCTATTTAGAATATTAATCACTGCTATTTATCTCTAGAGGATGTATGTGGGTGTAGTAGTTCTTCCTTTTAAAATCCTGATCTTTTAGTAAGTGCCTCAATTGTTTTCTGTGCTGAGGGCCCAGCCTTGCTTAACTGCCTTATAATATTTTCTAACTAGCTTAGCTGTCTACTAATATTCTCCACTCTGAAGAAATATCCCTAACTGTGGTTAGGGGAGAATGGGCATAGTTTCTATCTAACTGCTTTGAGCTGAGAAGGGTTGATGTAGGGGAGATTGAAGTCAGGGGCCCTCTTCAAAGAACTAATCTAATGGGCCTCAGATACAAGTCATGTTGTAGTTGAGCAGTTATGAACTTTCTTTACAAGGCTGATCCGGTGGATCCCAGTAAAAGGAGTCTAGTACATTTGTCATTGGTTCCATTTGTATGATCACTTGGAGTTTGGCAGCCTCTAGGCAAGAATAAACAAATTTTTCAATAAATCAGAGCATGTATAATCAAAGCATGAGCACTAGAATAGAAAGGCAGGTTGGAGAAAGAGCTACCTTTAGAAACTGTTCCTTTTTTTTTGAGACAGGGTCTTGCTCTGTAGTTCAGGCATTCCTTGAGCTCACTATGTAGCCCAAGCTGTCCTCAGACTCACAGTAATCCTCCTGCCCCAGCCTTTTGAGTGCTGGGATTACAGTGATTATAACGTGCAGGCTCTTAGACCCCTTTATTGATAGAGGTTATCTATAAGTCTGATATTTTGTCATAAGTTTCTCTAGTTTTAGCTCCAAGAAGATAGAAACCTTGGTGGTTTTGAAGGACAGTTTTAGCTAAGAAATTTAAAAACTCTTGTTGAGGTCTTATAGAGTCTACCATAGTTTTTCTTAATGACCCATAACAGTGGTCAGCTACCAGTGTAGCTGGAAACTGCCAGAAGGACTCAGTGATTGGAGCCCCTTTTTATATCTAGCTTTATTACTATGGTCTTGACTTAATAACTTTAGTTATACTTTTCTACTGGATGTTTAATACTAAGTTAAAGTGAGACCCGTGTCAGTTAAAATAAACCTCTTGCTGTCTATCAAGGTCAGTTAATTCTCCTCAGGCATTACTTTGGAACCTTACATAGGGCCTCACACTTTTTCTGTCAGTGTTAGTTATGAGGGTGGCCTTGCTTGACCATGTTGCTTTCTGTGAAAGCAGGGGAGATTTTCCCTCTGGGTGATCCTCCTTTGGCACACTGTACATTTGTTGATTCTGTCCTCTGGGGTCTAGCAGATCTCAGGAGTTTGGGTGACTCATCGAAGTTGTAGGATCCTGTAGAAAAGGTTTCCTCATGTCCTGGGTCCTCATTGACCTTGGAGGGCCAGGGCCAAAATATTGGCTGTCCCCTTATCCCAGTTACCTTTCTAGTTCTGGACTCCAAACTTTGATTTTTGAACACACAGAAGAGAAGATCAGCGACATTCGTAGTGCAGTGGGAACAGTGAGCTTAACTATTATAATTTTACCTGGACATGAAGGACTTTGAAATATAAAGTATAGTTAGAAGACTATTATTTTTATCAACCATGGTTGTTCTAGTAGTTGAATCCCTACAGAATGTTAACAGATAACAGTTATATGGTTTTGCACAGAAAACTTGAGATCAAGAGCCACACAAAGTATTTTAGCATGGCATTCATGATGACATTATTTTCACAACACACTTAAATGTCTATCTTAATATAGAATAGCCTCTTAGTCAAACATCTCTATCTGATCACAAGATATTAAATGACACACACACAAAAAACCTGTCACCTAAATTGTTATTTATTTATTTATTTATTTTTGGTACCGGGGATCAAACTTGGGATCTCGTGCTTGTGAGGCAGGCGCCAGAACCACTAAGCTAAGTCCCCGGACCTAAACTGTTATTTTTTAATAGGATGCCATCTGAGGAGAATGGCCAATAAATATACCTTGGAAGTTTATAACATTTAGCTCTAATTTATAGTGTGACATTGTTTGGACTGTTTGGTGCCTCAGTATCCCTAAGGGTAGTGACACCTATACCATACACATCATATAAAAATGATTAACTGGTGATCTCATGCTGGCTTGGCATGTACCTTTTATCACAAGTAGCTGGAGCACAAGAGACAAGCGGATACCTGAGTCAAAAAAAAAGCTTATTATGCAAAACAATATTGGTTTTATATCTTGGAAGACCTTTGTACCCAGAATGTATGAATACATTTAGTACAGCATGAAATTACCAAAAATGAGTATCACAGCTATATGAAACACTCTGTCCCATAATTTAGTTTTGTACCAGGAGCATATTTTAATAAAATGTTTTTTTTTTTTTACAGAAAACTTAACTTTTTGATGATGACCAATGTAAACATATCACAATAATATGTTTAGCAATGTTTATTGGAGTGTGTCTCCCATAAGGCTATGGAAATTATTGGATTTCCTTTTGTGAATAAAGGCTGGCACAAAAGATATTTTCAGCCAGCTGCTCCTTTATTTACCAAGGGGAGTCCTGCCCAGTAGTTTCCCTAAGCCTAATGGTCCCCATTTAATTATCTCAACAAATTTTTAGATGACCTATGAGAACCAGATTGTAACAATTAACACATTATTTTTGACTGAAGAAAGAGTTTCAAGTTATTATACACAGACAACAATGTGTATTATATTTGTAAAACCAGTCTTGATATCACTTAGATTAGCTGCCAACCTGAGTGGAAGCATGTCTTTAACTCTAATAATACTTATCTATAAGCCAACTTAAGTTACAAGCAAACAACTTTAAAAAAAATCTAAAGAGATAAAAAAGAACAAACAGCTATAAGACAGATTGGACAGACAGATGGACAAACACACATAAGACAATTTGTTTATAAAACCACAGTGCACTCAGATGTATTTGGCCAAGTTGAATTATAATAATCCTTATATAGTTTTTAGGTTTGTAACTATAAATAAGACTAGTCAGAACATTTGTATGTCAATTAATAGAGATCTCTTGTAATAAGAATCAGAAAATGAAGACAATTTTTAAGATGGGCCCAAGGCTGATGGTTTATCTGATTGGAATATCTAGCTACACAGGCTTTTCTTTCTTTTTTCTTTCTTTTTTCTATTAGGGAGACGAGGGAGGGCGACCGGCGGCCCGCAGGTACCCACCCAGTACACAGCCGGACGGAGAAGTGGGCGTCGCCTGCAAGGCCGGGCGCGTGACCGACGCCGAACGCACGGGCGCCCCGACTCTGGCGGGCGATTCCGCCGCTCCCCCACGACCCC